AACGTGAAGATATATAAAAAATATTAATTTCGATTTTATTGCGATTACTATAACTTGCCCTACGGGAAGTTAAAAATCTTTATTTTTACAAATATTAATAAGATCTGAATCATTTTAGATTAAAAAGTGAAATAAATGTTTTAAAAAAGAAAAATTTTAAAGTTGTGAAAATTTCAATTTTTTTTTGAAAATAAAAAAAAAATGTATTATCAATTTTCTTTTAATTTTTTTTTTTAAATTGACAATATTATGAAAAATATCACTTAAAATATAAAAATAAAATTAATTGTATAAATAATTATATAAATAATTAATAATAGAATATCCAGTCATTGGATGAACTTTGTTGTTATTAAATGATATGTAAATTTTAGATGTTTTCAAAATATTTACATTCTAGTTTATCTTATACGAAAATATGTATAAAAAGTGTTTTTTTATTATTTGTATTTAATTATTTTTATGCACTTTGTATTTTGACAAAGTAACTCTCAATAAGTAATAAATATAACATTCAAATGCAAAAAAAATAGCGAATAAGATCAAAACCAAAAACCTGGCAAATGTGAAGAAGATCTCTGAATACTATTATAACATATGCAGATTGCTAAAATTATAACTATGCAACTGACGAAAAACAAATGCAATGCAATTCTAAAAATGGATATGAGAAAAGCATTCGCATAAAAACGTTATGCCATCCTGAAACGAGCGAAATAACATTTTTGGAATAAAAACAACCGGCCGCTAAAGTTTTAAATTGTTGCACAAACAACGTTCAACTCCAATGTGAATTTTCATTTATATCGGAGAGGACATTCATGCATATAACACGAGTGTCATCATATCGAGAGCAATGCACCATGAAATAAAAATATCATATAGGAACATACAAGCACAACTTTCATTCATACATACATATATATTTAAATTTATATATAAACACAATCAAGGTCTATTTTATATGCGCATATACTTCATAACTTTGAGGTCACACACTATTTCCAACCCAATTTGAGTAAACAAACGAATATTTTTCAAACTCAACAAGCAAATCTATTTTTTTTAAATAAAAACATGTTCTATATTTCTATGAGGGCTAAAGCAACTAGACCAGTATCAGTGGTCCTGGATTCGATCTCAGTTCGAGGAGCCTGATGTCAAGAAATAGTGACATCGGTTTTTGGAACATCTTTTGGAAATATAGATAGCAAATTTGTTTCCAAGTGAAAATAACCCCCATCCGGCATTGCTGCTCCAATAAAATATTCGCTCTGTTACAGAAATTGTATTAATAAAAATTATTGCAAAGAGATATGACAACTGTTTGGGATGCCAACTGTGAAACTAACGTAATAATAAGTCAAATTAGCCCAATAACGAATTTAAAAATGATAGATATAAACATAAAAAATGATGGAAAGGAAAATATCATAAAAATTAGTAACAAATTGTAAATATAAAACCGTAGGGTAAGTTATTGTATTCGTAAAAATCGAAATTGAAAATTTCTCGATATAAATTTTCGCATACCTTATTATCAGAAAAAATGGATGTGTGTGTGTATGTATGTATGAATACAATTTTTCGTCCTCGTTTTCGGGCGCACGGATCAACCGATATCAATGGTTCAAAAAGCATTCGATTCCTATTGATAAGGAGATGTGCTGATTAATTTTTGGCAATGGCAGGTCCAGCAGTAACGGAGATAAAGAGCAAAGAGTGCAGAAAATAGAAATCGAGTTTTTGAGAGAACGGAGCATCCGATTTGAATGATCTAAAAAACATTCAATTGATAATTATTGGGAAAAGTGGTTATTAGTTTTTTGCAAAGGCAAGCCCAGCCATTTTGAAAATACAGAGTTAAATATGCAAAAAATGGCAGTTTTTGAGAGAACTAAGCGTCCGATTTAATGATTCAAAGAACTTTCTGCTTGTTTTAAAAAAATAATTGACTTTAGAAAACAAATTTTCGCTTCAAATTTTTTTTTCAATTTTTTTTTCAAAAAAATTTTTTTTTTGTATATGGAATTTATAGATTTTATTTTTAATTCTGACTAAAGTACTAATATACTTTAAACAAATAATTTCAACTTTGCAATTCAGTTTATATAATTCTTATAAATATTAGACAATGTTACAATATTTATAATGATCTATTTGAAAACATTCAATATTATTCGAACATTTCGTTACGGTAGGGGAAGTTCCAGCAATTTGCCTTAAGGCACGATGCCATACACCCCACTAGTTTATTGTAGAATTGAAGTGTTTTGCATATACTATTGTATAATAAAAACATATCATATAGTTAAATAAACAAGCTTAATATTATAGTTTATTAAAGTTTCGATTTATATAAAACTTATATTATTTTATAAATCACGGGGTTTACAATAGTGCAAAATGAATGAACTATATTAAAAATAACAGAAAAGTGACTAATAAAATTTAAAATGAAATATATTGTTAACATAATTATAAAAGTCCCCTGAAGCCCAATATTTGATTTAACTCTATGGATTATCATTTTGCTATTGATCACTATGCAATCACAAATAACTCGTCAAACTTGATTAATATCCTGTTAAACTTCTAATGACTTCTTAATCACTGTAGCAAAATTAATGAGCAAATAATAATTGAAATAAAGACGATAATACATATTTAAATGGCAACGATCATTATTGCTTTGAAAAAAAAGTTCTCTAGATATAGTAGTGATAAAATTTCTATTGTAATATAATAGAGTAAATAAAATTCCATTTATTTGTTAATCAAGAACTGATTCAACTCTTTGTTTCACAGAAAGTTCTATCAATCAAGTTGAATGACGACATCACATTTCTGTAAAGTTAATTGAGTCAGCAAAAGAGCGCGCGACGGCGAGCCAAAAGAGCATCAAATTGCCGAAAAAAACTGTCCAAATCCATTTGTTATACGAGATCGCTCAACACATCATTTATTTTCATCTAACAATAAAAGAAAAACTATGTTCCGTTTTTTATAATGTGAAATTGCGGCTTGATGCATTAGAGCAAAGACGGTCGCAGGAAATTGTGAATAATGAATGCTAACAAACTACTACGGCATGACTTTAAAAAGCTTCTAGTTTGGAATTACTAAAATGGTTGCATAGAAAAAACAAGTTCTATTTATTCAATCAGAAGTTAAAAAAAAACAAATTAAAGTCATTCGTTAGGAATAAACAAATAACGAAAAAAATGTACAGAAATACAATTATTAGAATTACTTCATACAACATTAATAATAACATTTCTTATTGAGAAAATAGTTTTTGTAATGCTGCAAAGATGATGACATATATTTGAAACCCATAAATTTTTCAATAAGTTTCTTCAGAATCTTTCTACGAAATTATGCAAACTTTTTACATAAATTACATAATTTTTTTTTTTAGAATTTGCACCTATTCTATATGAATCTCATGAAACATTATCAAATTTTTGGTTCTACTAAGAATGACTAAATAGAATATTAATACCGGATATGAGATAATTAATAATTAAATATTACATAGTTTAAATAATTTTTATAATATACCTACACAATCAAATTCTAGAAGTTTTACTGATTATTTGGACAAATTACATCGAACATACACAATACTGAGAACGTTAGGTCATCGTTAGGTTTACAATATACTCCAGAAGAATAAAGAATTTAAATCAATATTTGCCTTTGCCAAAAACAAATTGCCCTATCAATAGTAATCGAATGTTTTTTGAACCATTGAAATCGGTTGATCCGTGCGCCCGAAAACGTGGACGAAAAATTGCGGACACACAAAACGCACACACAACCATTTTTTCTGAGGTATGCCAAAATGTTCAGAAACCTGTGAAACGTGAAAATATGCACAAATTTTCATTATGTATTTTACGGAAATATTACTATAACTTATTCTATGGGAAGTTAATAAAGATATATACGCCGTACATCCCCATCAATCTATTGATGAAAAGCATTGAGGGGTAAAATATGTACGTATAAAATAAATATTAATCACCAAACTATTTTTTCGAATAAAATAGAAAACTGAAACCTATAATTTATTTTAATTTCTTAATGTAAACACCATGCTCACGAATTCTAGGGTTCCAAGTCGAAATTAAGTTATTATATTATTGCATATGTTATAGTCAATAGCAAAACGGAAGCACAAAGGTATATTTATAATAATATGTTTATAAATAAAAACCGCAAAGCAAAACGAATGATGTTATTCCGATGAAGACATTTGCAGATGTTATTTGGTGGTCGTAAATTACGATTTAATTAGAGGAAGAAAGCATATGCATATAAATACCTATTATTACAAGACTATTTATTAAGGTGTAGAGGGATATATATATATATATATATATATATATATACACAAACAGGTATATATATAAACCTGTATGTATACATACATTTGATATAATTTTGGCAAATATAGAACTATATATTATATAGATGTTACTGTTTTCTGGCAGATATAATGTTTGGAACAAGAAGAAAATGTTAAAATGAAATGAATACCAATTTTTTGATTCCAAACGCTTTTAAACATTTTAGTAAAATTTTTGAGTTCTTCATTTTTATTATGCATGTTAGCACAATGTATATGAAGAAACTAGGAGAATATTTAGAATCTTAATATTTTTACTTCTTTTACCACAACTTAACTATGAGAATTTCTAACTATAGCGAAAATAGGAATAAAATTAAAAATGTGTGGTTTAGCATATTTGGTACTTCATCAAAAATCTTTCAAAATGAAATGTTAAATACCTGCATTCATTTGTAGCACATAAATCGTATTACTATATAAATTTTGAAATTGACTTAAAAAAAGATGAAAGTGTTACAGTATCATCTCTATGTATAATGTGCTACTTGCAATAATGGAGTACAAAGTAAAAGTTTTATAGAAATACTATTTAAGGCATTTTTGTCTGAACTTAGTAATTAAAATATTGGAAAAATGCACGTACCTTCTACACCTCAAAAATGTCACCATGATGACCGCCCCAACAGCCGCTGATATCACAGAAACTATGACCAAACTAAGCGTCCATCCTAAACCAGTAGAAGCTTCTGAAAAAAGAAGAAATCATTATTTTCTACATTCAAAAAATCTTATAATACACTTCTATATTTCTCAAAATGCAATTACAATCTGTTTTTGAAATACAAAAAAATAGTAATTATGAATGACAATATTTTATGTTATGTACAGAGTTCACTCATTAACAAAGTAATTTAGTTCGTAATACCCTTTTAGCAAATTCATTCTGAATATGTCATGAATATGGAAGATGTTTTGATCAAGAAGTCAATATACCCTAAAATAGACCAATGTTATGTCAAATCTACGTTATGTAGCAGTTTTCATATAAAGTGGTACTAAAAACTTTCAAACTCCTATGTGGTTGCTGGGCAGTCAGGCTTTTTGGATTGAAAATCTAACCTTGAAAACGCAATATCAAAAAAACAATCTTAAAATGACTGTATTTTTAAGATATGGCTTGATGACCTATATTGTTGTATTGATATGGTTAGTGTGAAACGCTTGATGGCACAGCAAATACATGACATATAGACAGTATTTAGTAGCGCTTTGTATGAAAACGGGAACGTAACATAGCCTTGCCATAACATTGGTTTATTTTACGGAGAAATCGTCCCATTAATTCTGCCAATCTCGTTGAAAATTGTATATCATATAATTTCATTTTATTTTATTATGTTTTATTGCTTATCAAGCAATAGATTGCTATGGACTATTTGATGTGCTGCAATTTTGAACCTGACAAAAATTTGAAGCCAAAAAATCGACGTTGACTAAAAAAATATTTAAAATATATTTTATTAGTTTGTTCATCTTGGTCAACAGCTTTAAATGATAAATATTTTTGTAATATGTCAGAGACTTAGATATAAAAAACTAATTTGATATTGAAGACTCGATAAATTGACTAATGTGTTTTATGATTGAATTCAATATTAACAATTTAAAATGATTTACAATTCCAGTTCATAATTTTGTGAGCAGTGTTTATTTATTGCTTTTACGAGCAGACAATACTGTTTGAAATAATCGACCAAAAAATGATTTTGTTTTATTAATTTCTCACAATAATTAACTGTTTTATTATCCGTTGTTTTACTGATCGTTGATGCTTGTCAAGTTTATCTTTTCTTCGGATGGGTAGTTCGTTTGAGTAATGTGAAGACGATATGCTCAGTAATTGAACAGAGTTTCTTTTAATTAATAAAGCAATAGATCAAGTTGAGTTGAGTTTATCTCAAATGGGAACATATGGTTCATTCTTTGTATTTTCACCATCAGCTGCAATGATTCATGGAGAAAATAGATATATAAGTTGTTTCTTATTTCGTATCATGGAACGTGGAGTGTAGTACAATTCAAGATTACGATGAAACTGCATTATTTTATTCCATTCATAAATCGATCGCATTGTTTTTAATTATTTAATGTGATTCAATACAAAAAGTAAGAAACGATTGACGATGCTACCAAGATGAAATGCGTTATCACAAAAACGTTTTAGTTTTGTTTACTATAAAATATTCTCAGAATATGTTTCCTTTGCTACTATTGCTACTCATTTTCTATTGCGATTTTAGTTGCTTTTCCATGATAGAAATGGTGATTATTTTTATTTTTTACAAATCGTACGTAAATCATCCGAGTGTACTGTTTCTAAATATAGGGGTCAACTGAACAAATTATTTATTTTTTTAAACCAGGAAAACTTATACTCAAAGTGAAGAAGAAGAAGAAGATAAAGAACAAGAAAAACTATACGAAAAAGATGTAGAAAAATTTGAAAATTATGACTCCCAGGAATAAATTTATCAAAAGGGTCATTTTTGACCTTTGACCATGTGCTATTTCTTTAGCTCGCATCGGAACGATGAGTACTTTAGAGATTTCTTTTATAATTGTATTTTAAACAATGTTACACCCCATTATGAATTATAGTAACCTTCACCCTGATTTTAGGTTTAAATTGACCGGGCTATAACTTCAAGAGATCATTTAAAAACCAACCAACCAACCAACAAAACAACAGTATCACATGAGAAATATTCTTGAAAGATCTAGAATAGATAGATTACTTGAGTAAGTTTTTTATTATTTTTATAATCACTATTTTATCTCAAAACTCTCCTTATTAATTTAAAAGAACATAAAATGTTGTTTTATTACTTGATTTACCGATAACCTTAAAATAAGCATTAACCACCATCGAACTGATAAACGCATAGTTAATCATTGTGTAGATATAATTTATCTTTTCGATTCTGGTACAGGCTCTTAAACATCCATGTCGTATTGTAAATAATTTCGATCATATTGTTAGTGGACAACTGCTTATTAAAAACATTGTTTTCGTATGTACAATTTATGTGCGAAAAATATTATCGGTATCGGCTTGTATATTGTTGATTGTATTCTTGCATTCTGTCGAAAGAGCAATTAATTTTAATATCCAATTGACAATTGATAATAATTTAATATTTCATGCTTAATAATTCATATTGTAAGTGGTGGGCTCGTCGTAGTGCAGTGGTTAAGAACATAGGCAAATATAAAAAGAATAGTGATGGGCCGCTGGGTTACTCTCTCGAAAAAAATACTAACAAGGAGAACCTCAGGTTTACTCTTCTGAGATTTTAATGAAACTTCACATGGCGATTGAGTTGATAGTTAAATCAAACACCTTAAAATATTATAGGCCTATGAGAAGCGGTTTAATTATAAAAGTATTTATTTGTAAGTACAATAACTCATGAGCACAAATGCTAGAGTGGAAAGGATTAAAACAGGTTATTAATAATAATAATAACAGGGTAATACTATTAATGACCAGATATTAAAAGTATGGTTTTCTAACTATTAATTTATATGTGATAATTCTTGAGCAGAATGTAGAATATTCCATATATAATCAATTATATATGATAATTCTTAAGTACATCAGAGTTAATATTTTATGAGAAATATCCAAGAATTATACATCATCATTAACAAGTAATTTGTTAAGAACTATGTTTGTATATGATAAAAACTTGGAGCTTCTAGTCTTAATGAACGGATGCAATGGTTGTAATAAATATATTATTTATGGTCGCAAACATGATGCAAAAAGGATATTAATGATAAGTAAGCAAACGATTTAAAACACTTCTATTTGTTTCATAATTTTCTATTCTTGTTTTGTTGGAAGTCGAGTTTTTTAGAACTTTAGAAATTAACAGGAATAAATTAACAATTATAAATTAATTAAGAAGTTGTAAACTAAAATCTATGCATCGACGAGATTACTACATTTTTCGAGAAGATTGCTTTATTGCAGAAATACTATACATGTAATTAAAAAAATATGTATAGAGTAATGATTCTCTATAAATTTCCTTAGAATCTCTGTGCTAAATATATATTTAACTCACTACTAATAGTAAATTACTTAAAGTTTTGATGCTATATACATTCATTTTAATGTTTAAGTCTTTTAATTCTACTCATTATATCGTTTTCTATTTTAAGTTTTTAAACTAATTTATATATATATACATATATATATATATATATATATATATGTATATATGTATATATATATATACATGTACATTTATGCATATATAAATTAAGGTCTCATACCTAACCAAATATAATTTCTGGAACTAAAATATTGTTCATTCAATAGAAACTATTAATATTAAGAATGTAACTTTCCAATTTCATTCAAAATAAATTATTTTCCAATACATAAAAATATGCAAAAGTATACGTGCACAAATAAATACCTTTTAATTGTTCAATATTTAATATGTCAAATCTTTTCGTATAAATTATATATATAATAGCAAATGTGTATATTAAAAGTTTATTTATATTTTCTGATATAAATTAAAACCTTTCAAAAGTTTAGAAATTATTGCAAATTTTACTATTCAATTATTTTTTTGTATTTATAGCTTTCACAACTTTCTATGCACAATAGTACAAATTACAAAGAACTTTATTCGGATATTTCCAATATATAAAATGATCCTTCAAAATGAAAGAAATGTAATTATAAAATATTATTTTGTAATTATGCTATGTAATGCTAATATAAAGAACTGATGCAAATTTATTAATAATATTAGAAAATAAAAAAAAAATATTAATTTCAATTATGCCTATAGTTAATACAACTTAAGGATAAGAACATCTTCTTCGATGCTTCAAAACATTTTTAAATCTAAATAACAAAAGTATAATTGTATTTTTTCAATATAGTATTGTTTTACCAATCCGAATGTCTCAAAAAAAAAATAAAAATTTTGAAAAGAACTCTGATCTTATTTTTGTTTGATAAATATTATAGGTAGATTTTTTTGTCAATTCAGTACATTGTATATTAATTTAATATACATCTAACCGCTATATATGAAATAAAACTATATTCTTTGAAATTTAAATAAAATTTATAATATTTTGGGCAAAAATATGCCATCATTTGCGTATAAAGATAAATCGTTTTAGGACCTATGGCAATTTTTATATTGTATATTATATTACTATACACCTAATCGCTTTATATAAAATAAAATTCCGTTCTTTAAAACTTATTTTTTTTTTTTTGACGAAAATATGCCACCATTTCCGTACAAAGAACAAGAAGATTTAGGGCTCATGGCAAATTAGTCGTTGATAGTTCTCAAGCTATTGACGAACATAGCCAGTATCACTCTATCAACTCATTTCCGGGTGCAGATTGAAGTACACGAAGTTCGCTATTTGTAATTCAGCAATAAATGAAGATCTGTGTGTCCGTCTCAGGGAGGTACACTACCGTAGTATAGAGAAAAACCGTGGTCAATTTCCATAACACATTAAAAAGACTTCAATGAGAAATATTTAGTCGCATTTTGTGAATGACATCTTTGGTAAACCACATTTTTTGTTTTTTGGTCTGATGTTAACACAAACAAAGCGGATGGTTTTCCAACTCGTGAACAGGCAACGTATAACTGCCCATGTAAAAAAAGATTTTATAAATAATCTATTTAAAATTTAT